CTGGCCTGCTGCTCCCGGCGCCACTGTTGCCTTTGGCGGCAGAAGGTTCCATGTGGTGCGAGCGCCTCGCCGCTGGTGGTATTTCAGTCCCTGCCTGGCTGGCTGGCCTGGATGCTCTGGAAATCAGCCAAGCCGAGCACGGAGCCTGCAGCCGGCAGCTTCAGAGTCTGAAGTCGGAACGTGCTGGGGGGGAAGGTGGGCCCGGCGGTAGGCGTTTTCAGCCAACACCAGGGGCTGCTGCAGTCAGTGACTTTTCTCTGCAACCGTGTTGGGCTTTGCTGCTGGTGGAATGAATGCAATGCTGGCCAGGGCTCCAGCGGACCCGGGGATGCAGGCGCCGAGCCCACTTCCACTCCTCCAACCCGACCGACCGGACTTGGCTGCGGTTCTAATCAGGGAAGAGCATTCTTTCCAGAAGGATTGGAAGGAAGAGGGCAAAGCTGTGGGGCCTCCAGGCGTCAGCGGCTCCAGGGTTGGTGGGAGTCCGCAGAGGGCTCCCGGGAACAAGCATCGGACCTCTCTTTGACCTTAACCATGGGGTGTCAGCCCCCAACACGTGGGGAGAGAAGTTCTCTGCTGGTGCAAGGAGCCCACGGAGCACACGCAGCCTTATCTTCCGGAACAAAGTTCTCCAAGGGCAGCAACCCAGCGGCGAAGACTCTTTAAATCCAGCTGGGTTATACTAAACTATGAATTAAACCTCATGAAGCTAACGCACTCTTTGCTCCTTCTATGCTTTGTCAACATTTTATTGGTTAAAAATTTTCTCTCAGTCGGACTGGCATGGCTCAGTGGTTGAGTGTCGACCTATGAACCAGGAGGTCAGGGTTCGATTCCCGGTCAGGGCACATGCCCAGGTTGTGGGCTCGATCTCCAGTAGGGGGCGTGCAGGAGGCAGCCGATCCCTGATTCTCTCTCATCACTGATGTTTCACACCCCCTCTCCCTTCCTCTCTGAAATCAATAAAAATATATTCTTTACAAAAATAGGAATCCATTGCATTGATCAGGCCTGATAGCATCAAGAAGTAGCGGTGTATCAATCGAGTCCAAGAAAATGACTCACTTTTCTTCCCCGTAGGCAACGGTCTTTCACAGCAGGTGTGGCAGGCAGACCAGGTGCCCAGGTGAGACGACAGAGCCCACGTCCGTGGCCAAGAGGCAACTCGGTGCTCGCACACAGTAGGTGCTAGACGTGTACTGAATCCATACCAACCTTCAAGGGCAGCTGGGAACTCTGGCATGCCAGCTGCTTGCCCTCAAGCCGGGAGGAGCCAGCGCTGCCTAATTTGGGGTCTCGGCTCATGACCCCATCCATCCCTCTGTCCTTTCGCTAGGACACGGTGCGGGCCACACTGCTTCCACTGTCCCCCACACCGTGCCAATTCCTTGTACCCACACGGAATGAGCTGGGGACATTGACGGTGGTGGGGCCAGTAAGAGAGCCTCCCTGCTTTCCACTAGCCTTGGTCTTTGTAGGCAATGGACACCCCTTGGCATCAATGAGGCATCTCCCTTTCCTTCCACTTGCTCTTCAAGGTCCAATGCCCTTTGCCCATCAGGAAGACGCCCCCGATGGCTACAACCCATAGCAATTCTCTGCTCCTAGACCGGCACCCAACCCTTTCACATTCACTCAGATCCTGTCTCCTGGCAGTCTTCGGACGCCATTGTTTTTACTTTCTTTGTTACTTTTCGGTATGTCTTACCATCCAGCCAAATGGTAAACATGTTATGCCTGTATAAAATTCACAAACGGCCCTGGCTGGTTTGGCTCAGTGGAGAGAGCATTGGCCTAGAGTCTGAAGGGTCCCGCTGCAGCTGATCAATGATTCTCTCACATCATTGATGTTTCTCTCTCTCCCCCACTCCCTTCCTCTCTGAAATCAATACAAATATATTTTAAACCAATCAATCAACCAATCAATCAAATTCACAAATGGCATCCTACTGATTGACATGAAAAATTAAGACTAATCACCATGGACGTTAAGGCCCCTCATGAACGGGCCTCTTTAAGTTTGCTCTCCCATCACCCTCCTGCCAGTACCTCTGCTCTGGTTACAAAGAACACTTTGCAGTTCCCCGTCCCCCCAAATCCCTGGGCTCCCTCGTGCTTCCAGGCCTTTGCACATGCGGGGTCCACCAGGGAACCCCAGCTCCTCCCTCAGTGCTCACCCTCTGGGCCGTCTCCGCTGGTCCCCAAGGAACCCAAAGGCTGGGGGTGGGGCCCATCACCATGTGTGTGTCAGAGCCCTGCACGCCCCTAAGCAGATTTCTACAATGAGCGATGCCCAGACCGTGGACGGGCACTGTTTTTCCCGAAGAAAAGTAGATTTTTTCTCAAAGAAGTTACTATTTGGCAGGAATACAAAGAAGGATTTCTGCAGAGTCGTCTGTCTGTTGACTGAACCAGGATTCTGTTGACGGTAAGAACTGTGTGGACGCTCCGGTTAACCAAGATCGTCAGACTTCCCGGCTTGATTGCGTCGCAACACAATGAACCACGAACTCACAGCCACCTCCTTGACACCAGCCCCGGGCACCATCAACATGGAAGCTAGGAATCTCCGGTAAGTGAGATGTAGAAAAAAAAGATGAAAATTTCTATCCAACAGTGGTCTGTATGTTTTCATGAACAATGTGGAAATCCGAAAAGCCAGTCCTTTCCTCCTGGGTTTCCCAGGCCTCTACCCCGCACCACCCTCCCATTACAGCTGGAGGAGCCAGGCCCAGCATTGAAGGGTCTCAGATCCACAGCGAAAGGGCCAGTGGAGACCCCCACCCCCACCCTGGAAGGGCGCAAGGAAAGGAATTCTTTCACAAACGTGTACAAATAGCACCTACTCTGTTTAGTATTTTCTTATAGAACAAACCCAATTTATCTTTTTAGAAAATCTTTATCGCACCTTAAATAGATATTAAAACACACCTGAGGAGGCCAGCAAGACACCATCACTTCCCTCCAAACAGTGTTCATTATTCGTCTGCTTAGTATTTCATTTTTTTCTTTCTATTGCATTTGTTGCGGTCACATGGGTTAATAAAATTTTATAGGTTTCAGGTCTACAATTCTATAACGCACCACCTGTATATTGTATTGGGTGTTCAACACCCAAAGTCAAGCCTCCTTCCATCACCATTTAGCCCCCTGTACCCTCTTCTACCTACTCCCACCCCCCCTTCCCTCTGGTTGGTAATCACCATACTATTGTCTGTGTCTATGAGTTTTGAGGTTCGGTTGTTTTTGCTCAATCTCTTCACCTTTTTTTCACTCTACTCAGTATCTTCCTGTTGGTCCTGCCTGAATAAAAAGCTTATTTCACATTCCAAAAAGGGTAGCCAATTGAAACTGGAAGCTCCCTGTGGCCACTGATACATCCAGCTCCTGCTACCACACCCCCGGCTTCCCTGTGGGCAAGAGTCCAGAGCAAGCATGTCAAACTCGCGGCCCGCGGGCCCCATGCCTCGTTTATTTGGCCTGTGTTAGCCTTTGAGTTTGACACGCTTGGTCCAGAGGAAAGAGGACTAGGAGACTCTTCTATCCCACAGAGCAGAACGACACCCACCACCCCCTCAGGAGAACAGAGGGCCGTGCTGGGCCTGTGTACCTTCCCCTGATCCCCCACCTCCAGTGCCAACCCCAAATCCCACCTTCCCGGGTTGCCCGGGTGTTTGCTCTGTGTTGGATGGGGTTGGCCTCACCCACCCACCCCCGACCTGCCCCACAGTTGTAGCCACTTCAGTGACGGGAGTCAGAGAGCTCCGCATGGGCCAGTGGTTACTGAACCCCTTAGAAATAATCGCACAGGCCAGACGGTGCTTTCAAATTTAATCTCCATCCAACCCACCCCGTCTAAGAATCACGGAGCATGTAGCGCGGCCTTTCCATTTCGAATAATCCTTCAAAAGGCTCTGTTTCCGCGGACTGAAATTGACGTTGGCACAGGAGAAATCAGGTCAAGGCCCTGAGCAAAAGAAACCGCCACTTCCGAAAGCCACCCCAAGATCGCCAAGTATTTCCATTACGGAAACAGGTCCCCGGGGGGAAAACACATTTCAGCAGTAAAAACATTTACAGGAATTTCCACGACTGTCTTATGTGTGAGATGTGAAAGCATGCAGGATGGTTTCTAACCGTGAAGAGTGGAGGCAGCAATAAAATGGGGGTGCCCTTGGGGAGGGTAGCGGCTCATCTCAGGGTCTCGACAGGCTTGCAGAAGGCATGCCGCCTGCCCCGGGGGCCGTGCTGAGCTACAGGAACAGCTGACCAGCCGCCCCGAATCTCTGCAGCCCATCTCAGTTCATCCTTTCCAGTTCCGGGCTGGACCAACTATTTCTTCTCAACCATCAGGGATCCTTTTCCTGCTCTACCTTTTCACCACAAGAGGGAGCTGCAGCACAACCAGGGTGGAGCTCTCCAGCCTTCAGCGTGATAACAGACTCCCTGGACCAGTTAGGACGCTGGGGGAAATGAATGCGATCCATCCATTGTTCAAAATAGGTTTCCAGCCCGGCCAGTGTGGCTCAGTGGTTGAGCATCAACCTATGAAGCAGGAGGTCACTGGTTCGATTCCTGGTCAGGACACATGCCCAGGTTGCGGGCCCCATCCCCAGTGTGGGGTGTGCAGGAGGCAGCCCATCAATGATTCTCTCTCATCGTTGATATTTCTATCTCTCTCTCCCTCTCTCTTCCTCTCTGAAATCAATAAAAAAAATATATTTTTTAAAAGTGTGTGTCAGTTTGATTTACAAGCTCCATGTAGTTAGATGTATAAAGTTTTGCCCTGGCCCACGCCAATGATGGGGTGGGTTTGCTCCCTTCTCTCCTTATTCCTCTTTTGAGAATCAAAGGCGTATCTTGGTCTGGTACAATTTAGTAGCTCTTGGTTGGGTTTCTATGGAGACGAGAACTGTGCAGAGACCAGGAGGTAAGATGTGGCAGCCACCTGGCCACATGTGGCTATTTAAAGTTTAATAAAATTTTACTGTTTTATAAAAAATATATTTTTATTATTGATTTGAGAGAGGAAGGGAGGGAGGAAGGAAGAGAGAGAAGCATCAATGATGAGAG